TTCAACCTTAACCCAACAACTTCAAAAATAGAAAAAAGAGACTACACCAATGGCTCAATACAAGCAACTACAACATTGCTCTTATCATTGAAAGCTTGAAGACAAATTGACCACCGAAGGGTTTACTAATTTCTTAGTAGAAACTAAAAATAACACTACCTCTTTTTATATGAATCATATATTACCATATTGGATTTCAACTTTCAAGTTTTGTAAATTTCTTTTATTTTATTTTAAAACTTTGTTTTATACTTGTAGTAGATATGTTCTAACAAAAAAATTAGTATACTCTTTCCGTCTCAAAATAATTGATATTTTTTATTTAGAATTTATCCCAGAATAATAGTCATCATTTTTTTTTATTTTAAGGAAGATAAATAGTTTTTTTTTTTTTGCTTTAACCCTATAATTATCTCTTAATTTTAATTATTTATCTTCTGATTTAAATAGATATTTATTTTTAGTTTTTTTTAAGTATAAAATAGGTAAAGATAAAAATTGTTTTCGAAACCTTCAATTGAAGATAAAACAAAAAATCTATTATTCTAATATGGAGGGAGTTATATTTAAGTAATAAAATTTATTGATTTTTTATTATCATAAAAAATTATATAATTTCCTTTTAAAATTTAGAGTTGTTGAGATTACAAATAAAATTGAATATTATGATAATATTGAAGTCATATTGAATTTATATGGAATAGAATTAGATCTAAGTAAAAATAAAAAAATAAAAATATATGAACCCAATAAAAAGGAAAACCTTGGATATAGTCACATAGAGAAAAGCAATAGGAGGATAAAATAGTATAAAAGGAAGATAAACTAGTATAAAAGGAAAATAAACTAGTATAAAATGTAATTAGCTTGTAAAAAGGGAAATAAATGTGAAAACAACAGCAATTTTTACAATTGTGAAAACAAGGAAGAGCATTTTCTACGGCAAGTTAATTACTTTGGTGCTTATTTTTTCAGTTTCTACAGTAACAACAGAAAGAGCATTTTCTATCATGAAAATTGTGAAAATGAGACTTCACAGTAAAATGGAAAATAAATTTCTTTCGAACTCTTCAATTGTTTATATTGAAAAGGAGATAGTTTAGTCATTTAGTGTAAACTCTATTATAGATAAACTCGTCGAATATTATTTTAATTTATAATATAAAAGTAAGTTTTCAAAATTATAATGTATTATTTTAAGACTTGAAAAGTTGATCCTCCT